GGGCCTTAAAGAGGTAATTAAGTTAAAGTGAAACTCTTAGGCTGGGCCCTAATCCAATCTGATTGGCATCCTTATAAGACGCGGAGATTAGTACACACAGAGAGACACCAGGAATGTGTCCACATGGAGGAAAGGCCATGGGAAGACACAGAGGGGGGACCATGTGTGGTGACCACTCACTGGCCACAGTGAGAAGGTGGCCATCTGCAAGCTACGAAAAGAGGCCTCAGGAGAAACCAAACCTGCTGACATCTTCATCTTGGGACTTCAGACCTCTAGAACTGTGACAAAATAAATTTCTTTTATTTAAGCCTTTGAGTCTGTGATGATTTTTTATGACAGCCCTAGCAAAATAACACAGGCCAGGAATAGGCAGTGTTCTATTTGTTGGTATGAGTTCATAATAATTCAAAAATCTGTGCATTAATGTTTTATGAGTTTGTGTATTGTATTTGTGTATGTGTATTGTATTTCACAATAAAAATGTCTACATCTGAAACATGTTTCTGAGGAAGACCCTCAGAGATCTCCAAGAAATAACCATAAGAATAACCTGTAGGTTTTCAACATTCTCCCCTGTTCAAGGCTACAGCTGAGTTCTGTGTGTGCTTCTCAAGAGGTAATGCCCACAGCTTAGCATGGCAAACCCACTCATTTGGCCCTTGGGCAGGAGAAGCCACCTTCCCTGTGTGAAGGGGACTCTACGAAAATATCTGCTGTTCTGCCATGGGCCTGAGATTAGGAGAGAAACTTTCCCCAAGAGTCATACTGTGAAAAATCAGTGGAAAAAAATGAAATGACTCAATAGCCACCATCAGGCGCATGATGGCCTTGTCACTTGATTTGCCTTCTTGGAAATAACAGTGGTAGATGCCATTTTCATGGGCTGTGATGTTGTGGATGATCAGTGCCACGCTTCCCTTGCTGACCTCTTCCTTCACAAAGGTTGTTCTTCCTCGGTACTCCTCCATTTGCTCCTCTGTCCTCTCTCACCCGCCCTTATACACGAGCACTCCGGGGGAGAACTGAGATCTGGACCACCGCACATCCATGTCCTCAGCATTTTTCTCAGGTGACAGGTGGCAGTGTAACATGCTGTTTCCCCCACCATGGCCAGGATTGGATCATCTGGCCCCATGACAGTAAACTGGTCTGTTCAACAAAAGGGTAGAATCAGACAGTGGCACCAGGCATCAGATATCGAAGGCAGGAAAGAAAGTGCATAGTCCAGGGCACAGACAGAGTCTTTCTCCATTTCTAATTATTCTCTCAGACATATTCTTTCTAAGACCACAGGGGTTTCCTGGGCTGAGGATTCTGGAGTCAGTAACTGTGGCTGGTCAGCAGCAATAGATACCTAGTAGAAGTATCTGCTGAGGCTGCTAATGATTCCTGTTAATGCCAAACACTGAGAAGCTAGAGCGTGTTCCTTCCTGTTAGTCACCTCTAGCTGTGGATTCCTTCCACGTAAGGCCAAGACATCTTGGCACCCAGAAAAGACATTCCTACTCTGTCCTGTTCAAATTCTAAATTGCTGACTCATAGAAACAATGAACAGAGTAAAATAATTGTGGCTAGGTTGCTAATTTTCAGGGCTGCAGCAATAGTAATCAGTACATTTATCTTGTCACAAGAGAATAAATTTCACAAAACACACAGCATGAATAAAACTGGGCCCCCAGAGGCACTGAAACCAAGGATGAGAAAGTCGCCCTTCTCTCTTCACGTCTGCTTTGGTCTAATCTCTCTGTAGATCACCTTCCTTTTTCTTCTCTAGACCACCGTGTTGATGGAAAACACCTTCCCACAGCTCCCATTCATACTTGCTACTAATCAATTGTAACTTGCTACATATCACTGAGCCATTCAATCAAAATGTGAAAGGTATTCCTGCAGGCCTAGTCTGGATCAGATGTCCATCCAAGATCCAGTCCGTGTCAGTGGGCAGCAGTGCCACGTTATACGGACATGTATTGGAAGATTGGAAGTCACCATTGCAAAATGGATGGGAGTGAGAGGAGGGCAAACAGGTCTTAACAAACAGTATTCTCACAGTGGAACCTTATAAACAAATTCTGTTGATGTCCAATCCCAAAGCCCTTTGGTCCACCTCAGGTACACAGTTTCCTGCAAGGTAACAATTTCCCAAGTGCCTGCCGTTCTTTTTCTCCACCTGAGAGCTTTCTCTAACACCAGTGATGCTTGCTCCTTTGCATATACACAGCCCAACCTGGAAGTGCAAGGGAGTTAACACCCCAGCCTGCAACCTTCAACCAATGGGGGATGGGAATTGTGGATGAATGACCCAGGCTCCCCACTCCTGCTAGGAGGATTATGAGATATAGGCCACAATTTCACAAAGTTTCTCAGAGTGTTCTGAGTGGGACCGAGCCCGGTTGCCCACATGATAACCAACTAATTGACATACCTTCTATGCCATTTTTTCACTTAGTTGGCTTTTCTCCTTTTATTTATTTGCAAGCTTGGGTTTCCTGGGATCACTTCCCAAATAGACTACCTGAACCCAAGTCCTTGGCTGAGAGTCAGCTTTTGGGAGCTCAAACTAAGAGATGGGATTAGTTAGCAATTTCACCAGACATTTTATCTAGCAATAAGCATTATCTTTTCTGGAGAAGTTCACTCTGACATATATATACCTGAGTCTAGCAAGAGAATAGAGGGCTACAGAGAAAATTTCCAAGAATTCACAGGACTCTCCAATCATGGAGGCCCTTAGTCTATACAGGGGCCTACAGGATGGAGGCTTTCTCCTCCTTCAGAGTGAGTGAGGCTGTGACTATAAGTGTAGTAGGATAAGTAAGTCCACACCATTATATCTGCAACCTGTGAATATGACACACTACATGGCAAAAGGAATCTTACAGATGGAATTAGGTTTTGGACCTTAAAGTAGGGAGATTATCCTGGATTCTGAGGAAAATTATCCTGGATTATCTGGTTTGACTCATTCTAATCACATGAGTTCTGTTTTTTTTTTTTGAGATTTAATGTACAGTTTATTTACATAAGCAATAATATTGTACTGTATGTAATGCGATAAATATGTTACAATGGCAACCATATTACAATATATAAATGCATCGAAGTAACACAATGTACACCTTAAATTTACACAATGTTACATGTCAAATTTATCCAATAAAAACTAAATAAATAAATATTAGAAATTTGATGAAAACTGCAATCTGATAGATCCAAGAAGTTCAACAAACCTCAAACAAGATAAACATAAAGTAAAGTACACCAAGACAGATCTAAATCAGATTCCTGAACCAGAGGAAAAAGACACATTATTCACAGAGGAACAAAGATGAAATGATTTCAGATCTCTCCTCAGAAACCCAGAAACCAATGAGACATCTTTAAAATACTAAAAGAAAAAAAAGATGTCAATTTAGAATTCTACATATAGTAAAAAATATATCTCAAAAAATGAAGGCAGGGGTCAGCCCGGTGGCATAGTGATTAAATTCACATGCACCGATTCGGCAGCCCATGGTTCACAGGTTCAGATCCTGGATGCGGACCTATGCACCACTTATCAAGCCATGCTGTGGCAGGTGTCCCACATAAAGTAGCACATGAGTTCCTAAGAGTGGAAGAAGGCACAAGAGTCAAAGAGATTCAGTGGAAGAAGAGCCAGGAGAGATTCAAAGATTGAGAGGGACTCAAGCTGCCATTTCTGCTTTGAAGATGGAGGAAGGGGACCACAAGCTGAGGAAGGTGGCAGCCTCTAGAAGCTGGGAATATCTCTCAGCTGACAGCCAGCAAGAAATGGTAACCTCAGTCCTACAACTTCAAGAAATTGAATTGTGCGAACAATCTGAACGAGCAAGTAAACAGATTCTTCCCTAGGGCCTCCAGGAAGAACACAGTCTGCAGACACCTTGATTTTAGCCTGGTGAGACCTATGTTGGAATTCCGACCTACAGAAACATGAGATAAGTTTATGTTGTTTAGGTCCCGACATTTGTGGTAATTTATTATGACAACAACCGAAAATTAACACAATAAGGATTTTGTGAAAATATTGTAATGCGGTAAACTGTGAAACTGTGGTGAAAAAACTGTAGGAGCTTAAAATCTAGAAAAAGCTCAGTTGAAGAGTGAAGATTATTAACAAATTTTTTTAAAAATTGTAACTTGACAACCACATGCCCGGTGAAGGGAATACAGTGGTGAACAATAATAGTGATGATAATGAAGAGTAGCCTTTCCCCAGTATCCATCAGTTGAAAGAAACATCCCTCAACATCACTGAATGATCAGGAGTGGAAATATCACTTTCCTGGAGAAGGATTCTACAGTGTGATAAAAATACCACTAAAGTTCATCTAGCTTCCTTCCTCCCGAATTCTTATTCCACAAACAATCTTTAGGTGTCATGCTGTGATTCCTAGAGAACTTCAAAGTAGGATGATTGGTTGTGGCTCTATGATTCGCATCACATTGACAGAGTGAGTGCACATGTGCCCATTACCAGTGAAGAGTTTGGCCTCTAGTCCCTTCACATCCTGTGTGATGCAGCCCCTGTGAATTCACTCTCTGGACCACATCACCTGCAGATTCAATCCAATGAGGAGCTGGACCTATGGCTCTGACAATCGAGCTTGAAGTTACCAAGTGGAGTTTGGCCTCCACAGTCACCTACAGTGATCCTCATCCTGGTGCGCCCTGGGTAGGACCTCAGCGCTGCACATGTTCTCTTCCCCATGGGGACAATGGAGCCTGAAAAGAATAGGCTATAGGGTGAGGGTAGGACAGTTGTTGAACCTCTAATAGCAGCACAACTTTATGTGTGAATTATATGTTAATTAACTTGTGCCTGCCTCAGTTTCCACACTCTCAAAATGAGACCACCTCACAGGGTTGTTGCCCATTGCCTTATCCATAGAAAGGAGACAATAAAGCGGTACCAAACTCAGCTGTCATGTGGAATAATGGAATTAATATTAGTGAAGTGCTTCACACAGTATGTCCATTTGGTAAGCATTTTATTGTTGTAATGTGTTGCTGTTAAGGAAGAGGCCCTCAACTCCAGGCCGGGCAGGGGGAAGCATGGATGTTACTTCAGCCTGAGGGCCCCCATTCCCATCAGCAGAGCTTGGGGTCACTGGGGTCTCCAGAGAAAGGTTAGACCTAGGTCAGTAACAAGGGAACTCCGCACTCAGGTCAGTGCTGGGCAAATTGTCAAGGCAGTGGGATCCCATTTCAGAACACCGAAAATAGGCCACAGAGGCCCGGAAAAGACGGTGTACGGGAAGGTGTAGATATAAGATCCATCCGTGACATTGTAGAATGAGACCTCACCAGTCTCATAGTCCAGGATAACTCTCATTTTTTGAGGAGGGTTTCTAATTGTCAGGTTGGTCCGGGGATAGCTGAAAGCCCGATAATCATTCCCATTACACAGCCTCATAATCCAGAATCCATTCTCAGGTGATATATAAACCGGATCTTTCCTCTCCACGTCCTCCCTACATACCCCGACATACCAGTTATTCCTGTCTCCCACCTCTACCTCCCAAAAATGTCTCCCTGATGTGAAGCTCGTGCAGCTAAGCACAAAGTTATACAAATCAAATCTCTTAGGATTCTCTGGAACATTCTGTGGTATTTTGCCCAGGTTCAGGCTCCTCTGGTCCTCAGATATATGGAGGATGCAGTGTGCTGTCTCCGGATCCAGGATCACATCCGCTACAGAAAGTTAAGGGATAGGCCATGGGGTCAACCATTGTTCCCAGACCTCAGAGCCTCAGCCTACAAGACCTGGGTCTGGCTGGTGAGGTCTGAGTCCAGACCCTAGTGTTCCTAGCCTGCCCTGAATGTGACCTTCTCAGCAACACCAAAAGAAAGGCCCAGGGGTCTTGCGTCCAGTGGTGAAGAGTGCTGAGGTTCAGGGTTTGCCTAACCCAACGTCTCAAGCCCCTTCCTTCTATCTCTTTTCTACTTCTCTCCTCAAAATGAGTCTGCCCACCTGTTCTTTATAGTCACATAGATTTACATTCCAATCCTTTCCCTACCACTCATGAGCTGAATAACTTTTCCTTTTCTACAGTCTCTTTTTCCATAGACCCAAACTATATAATAGCCTTAAGCCTCAGTTCCCTTATCTGAAAAATGGGGATAAAAATACTAATCTCTAGGGTAGAAAAAGACAACACATGTTTTATTTGTAGCCCAGGGCCATGCATGGAGGAAGTGCCTGATGTTATAATAAGTGATATGCCTTGTCTCTGCTAGAGGCCATGTGGGGGGCTCTGTGTGCTCCCAGATCCACTCCCACCTTTCTCTACCCTCTTATGGACAGCATCACTGGGCTCCCTTGCCTTTGTTTTTCTGTTGGGTTTGGTAAATGAGAGGTACTAGCTGAAGAAAAGAGGAATGACATTTATTTCCCCCAACTTCCTCCCTGCCAAAGTCAGAGAGTGATGCTCTAACAAAGGCATGACTCCTCTCAGGCAGCCGTGTCCTTGAGCTACAGCTTCCTCTGAGCCCCAGTAACTGCTCCTTCTCTCTGTTCCTTCAAGTCTAGGGATGGTCACAGCTCCCCACTATTGTGAGCCCTGGGGCACTTCACATTCCCTTGTTGGTTTCCCTTAACTCAATTCCCGCCTTTGTAAAGAGTTCCTTTTAGAAACCTTCTTCCACCACCCACTTTGAACATGCCATCTCTTTCCAGTTGGTTTTTTGACCAACACACATTCATTACTTCATTTAGCCTTTACCTCAACCCTCACATAATAGGAATTATGATCATCATTTAAAAATGAGGAAACTAAATTTCAGAAACATTAAGTAACTTGAGGACACACAGCAGCAAGAGGTGGCATAAGAAGCTTAAGAAAAGCAAAGATCTTCGTGCATCGCCTTCTCTCCTTGGTCATTCCACATCCTCACTCTCCCTGTAGTATTAGTTCTCTCTGCCTCTCCTTTCCCTCAGCTCTACCCTTTATGCTTTTTCCTTCCCATGAAGATTTCTGGAAGCCCAGGAGAGCCATTCTGCCTGGTTCTCTGGGCTCACCACAGGAAGGTCCTGGACATGGGCAAACCTTTGAGATGAGGACCTCAGGTCACCCACTGGAACTCTCTCAGTCTGGGAAACTTTTCTTCCCAGAATCTCAAGAATTGGAGATTAAAGAATTGGAGAATAAAAAGGGAATATGGTCCCTCAGGCTGTTGTCCTAGGGAATATATAGTGATTCACTCACCAGCTTGGAAGAGGGCCATCTTCCACTCTGAAAGGCAGGAGACACAGATAAGGAAAAGGCATTATTTCTGTTCTTGCCCCCACCCGTTCTCCTCACTAAGCTTTTTCTCTCCCCCTTTCTTCAGTCTCTTCCAATGTCCAGCTTCCTAAATCTACAGCTCTGCCAAATCAGGCATACAACCTCTCAGATATGGTGGACTTCTTCCCCTCCATCATGTTGGAGCTGCAGGTGACATGGCCAGGCTTTGCTGTGGTGTGGGCATGTGTGCCAGCAGCGTGATGGGGTGGCTGAAAATGTCCAGACACTGTATCTAAAAGATCCTCTCTGACGCTCAATAAGAGCAGAGTTGGTATCCCCCACAGAAAATGAGCCTCTGGACTAGATCTGATTATTCCTACTGGGAATGCCAATGTGTTACACAGCAGAGAAACAGTTTAAATGCTTAGTACACATGTTCCAGGAAACACAGAGAACATGCGAGTCACTCACCAGCATAGTCTTGAGACTTCTCTCCGCCTACAATGGAAGAAAGGTAGAGATGTCACCTGAACTGTGTCACTTCTGTGTAGTGTCCTTTCTCTTCTTTTGCACCCATCTCATCTTTCTTTTTGATTCCCACCCCTACCCCAGCCCCTTCTCCCTCTGCCTGTTCAATTCTCTCCTCCTCTCTCCTCCTTAATATCTAGTCTGAGAACATCAACTGCATGCTGATGATACCACAGGCACCACGTAAGTGCTTTCCCAGCTGAGACCCGGCAGCTCTATTCTGTAAATATCTACACTCCCATATCTGGGTGCAGGTGTCGCTGTGTGTACACATCTGTGTGTGTGCACTAGAATCCATCTGTTTTGAGCTGTGTTATGTCCTGCCTACTTCTAAAAATAATTAGGCAACTTGAGAAAATTTCAGATACTATTTTTTTAAAAGCAATTCTAATAAATCTATGTCAACTAAGCCACTGTGGCCACTTCTTTTTTTAAACACACTTCTCTCTCTCCTTCTTCTCTGATTTCCTCATTCTTTTAAATCTTACATTCTTTGTTTTCTTCTCAGAGCCACAGATTATGTAAAGCCACTAGGGAGGTTCCCGCATAGGGAAGGCACTTCATCTAGAGAGTTCCATCCCCCTCCTCCTCCTTTCCTTTCAAGTGCACCCTGGATATTCCCTGCTGCCTTGCTGGGCTGAAGAGTTTGTGGGCTCCTCCTGGAGAGACATTGAAGGGCCTTTCGCCATTAAAAAAACATGACTCCCAGGTGCTTCCTCCCAATCAGCCTCCCTTTTTTCTTTCCCTTGATAAAGGGATCTGGGATGTTTCTCAGCCCTGGGCAGAGTTAGGGGTGAGGAAAGGGGCTGGGAAAAATTGGAGCAGAGTCTTAGATGGGAACTCAGAGAAAATGTCAGAGCCACCCAGGCATGAGCCATGACAGGCAGTCTCTCTCTTAAGTCTGCAGTCGAAGAAACCTAAAGAGTCATGAAGCAGCTTAACACAGAGATACCCAAGACGTGGGTGGACCCCTGGGGGAATCGGAACTTACGCAGTACAAGCTGGAGGTACTCTGGAAAATAAGCAGGAAAAAAATTACTGTTACAGGGGTGGAGCAGGGAGGACCTTTGGAAAACAAAACTTAGTAATGACCCAGTGCAAGGGTGGGTACTTCGGGTGGGGATGGGGTGAGATCCTTCAGGGGCACCCTCCCTTAAGCCAATGCCTTATGTTCTCTCCCTGGTCTGATACCTTTTGCCGTTTGTTCCTGCTTCTTTGCTGCTCGCTCTCTCTCTTTCTCCTTCTGCTGTCGCCACATGAAGTAACCAGCCCCTGCGAGAAGCAGCAGCAGAACTGGCAGGGTCCCTGCCAGTGTGGAGATCCAGGGCTGGGCTCTCCAGAAGAAGGGCTCTGCAATGGAATGGAGCTTTAGCTTTTCACCCACAGGGCGGAGATCACAGAGCTGATCTCATGGTGTTAAATGGTCCCTCTCCTCCTAAAGTCTCAGGGAACTTTGGGAAGACTTCAGTAAACTCTTGCTATAACATAATACTATTCCTTGTCTTGAAATGTCTGCTTCTCACATGTGAATAGGAGTTACTTGAGCATCAGAATCATGTGGTTTTTCTAATTTAATTTTTCAGTAGGTTACATTTACATGGTTCAAATATCAAAAAAATGAAAAAAGTCATCCAAGTCTCCCATCCACTCACTCCTCCCTCCTCCCTATATTTTAGCCTCTCATTAGTCAGCTTAATACTGTGGTTAAGACTGTGAACTTTGGAGCTGGAGGATCTGCGTTCAAATTCTGGCTCCTCCCCTTGACTGGCAGTGTGATCTTGGACTAATTATTTAATTGCTCTGTTTCTGGCGTCCTAATCTACAACATTGGGTAATAATTGTACCTCACCCGCAAGGTTAAAGGATTAAATTAATGCTTATAAAGAGCTTGACACGCAGTAAGTGCTATTCAAGAGTGTATTAAATTTTTAAAATATAAATATACTCATATTTTTTCTTTTTTACACAAGAGACAGCATTCTATATGAACTGCTCCACATGTGGCTTTTTCTCTTCATCTCAGAGATCCTGCCATATTAGTACAGAGAGAATATCTGTGTTTCCTCTCCCACCGGTGCAATATTCCAGTGCATAGAAGTTCCCCACTGATAGACTTTTTACATAGTTTCTAACTTTTTGCTATTATACTTAATGCTACAACAAATAACCTTTTACACCAGTCATTTCATACATGTGCAAGTATATCTGTCAGAGAAATTCCCACAAGTGGGATGTTGGATCAATAAACAAGTAGTTGGAGAAATACCGCTTATTGTCCCCAATAGAAGTTGTACCAATTTATACCAAAAATATACCAAATTGTACCAAAAAATGTCTAAAAGTGACTGTCTCTCCATAATCCTGACATCAGAATGTGTTATTTACCACCTTGGGTTTGTTTTGTTTTGTACAGTTGCCAATTACAAGTGGAAAATGTTTTAATACATGTCCCTCTATTGACTGAGATGGGACTTCATCTCAAGTGTTAGTTCCTTTTCTGTGAACTAATAATTCATGTCCTTTGCTCATTTTTCTATTGGGTTGTTTTATATTTTAAGGAGATTACTTCTTTCTATAAGATATCAGTTGTACATATTTTTTTCCCATTTTATCATTTGTCTTTGCTTATTTTTTTTACCGTGTTCTTCCAGTTCTCGTTGCTTGTCACAGGTTCCAGCACACAGGAAATACTCAGTAAATATCTGTGACATAAATAGCTTAATGGGGAAAAGAAACATGCACAGAGAAAGAAGAAGGCTCCAGATCCCTGCTCTGTGCCTTATATTCACTGCAAACACCAAAGTCAGAAACAGAGAATCACATCCTCCTTCTTTGAAGAGCCACAGCTCAGCACAGCATACTCGAGGCTAAGCAGGGTACTGACCTGCAATGGAAATCCTGGCTGACTTTTCCTGGTAGAGGAGGAGATTTCTGATGACACAGGATACCCCTTCCCCGGAGTTGCCTTTCACGATCACAGATGCTCCTACTGCATACAGACCCGCTCCATCCAGCTCCAAAAGTGCTGACACAGCTGGCATGTCTTCTCCCTTGGCATCTATCCACTGTATTTCAGGTCGGGGATACCAGCCGGTGGATATGCACTCCAGATGGATCCCTCCTTCCTCATAACCCTTCATTTCAATACGAAAGTCAGAACCCAGTGCTGTGGAAGGATAAATGAGCCTGAATTCTTCGCATCCTCCTGTATCAGTGAGAGTCTCAACAGCAAATAAATGACACACTCACATTAGATAATTCAAGGGGATTTTCATTAAGGAGCTGTTTACAAAAGCGTGGTCATGGTGAGGGGAAAACTACATGGGATTGAGCAATACCCCAGGGCCAAGAACAAAGGGAGGCGGAAAAGGAGCCGTTTTGAAGACCTAAAAGAAAAGCATCATGTAGAGAGGGTTTTCTTAAGAGGAGCCATGATCTTTGGGAAGGGAATGCAGCCAGCTAGAGGTGGTCCTGCAGGGAGAAAGCCAGGGCCATAAGTGTCTAGACCTCCTCTCCTCTCTCCCTCCTTCCATCCTCTGCTATGGCTCCCCATTTACCAAACCCAGCCAGAAACCACAGGGCAAAAGAGTGTCCTGGGAAAGAGAAATGCAACCCTTGACATCTGGACATCGGCCTGGTCTCGGTGTTCTTCTGTTAACATAAGCAATTCCACTGAACATCAACATCAAACAAGGGTACTTTGTCACTATGATGGGTCAAGACAAAAACAAGACCACTCAACAACTCTATTTAAATATACAGAAAAACATGAACACTGTCCAAACCACAGTCATGACCAAATATTTCCCTATCCTGGCTACGAGTGACTGCTGCTCCTTGAACAATTACAGCTTTAGTCTCACTCCGGTCTTCCTCCTGGATAAGACTTATTAAGATAACTCTCCACAGAATCACATCCCCCAACTTCTTGACAGCTTCTAATCCAGAGCAAAGCCCCACTTCCATAAACTCTTCCCCAACTCCTCTAACACAAGCTCAAATTCTATACGAAACCTTCTCTCAACACCCTCTTACTTAGACACCCCATGGTTCCCACATGGCGTGCATTCTCCCTCTGTGCAACAAGTAATACACACAACTGGGTCAACTCCAGCTATGTTTCTGGGGGCGTTTGGTGGGAGAACATTGGCAGCACAGGTGCTGTCCCACAGGTCAGCCTCCCACAGCAGCGTGGACCTGGAGGGGCCACAGAAGCGATCTGGAACACAACTGAACCCAAACAACTGTGTGCCAAAACTGAGGAGATAATTTCTTATCCTTCTTATCCCTCAACTTCCACTTCTCTACAGAGACCGTGGTGACTAGCATAAGGGAATTTTTACTTGATATTTTAGGATAAAGGAGGGAATCTTCCTGGAGGAAAGCCTGTGTCTTTCCCAAGGGCCTCAGAGAAACAAAGTGGGAAGGCAGTGGAGGCAGACCTAGTCACCAGCCAGGATGCTCTGAGGTAGATTTGGGGCATGAACTCTGCCGCTGCCTCCAGATCCCAAGGAGGAATGGACTCAGAGCAAAACCTGGAGGCTCACCTGCAACCTTCAGCTCCACCGTGGCTTTTTCATAGAAGTTGTCATCTTGGAAATAACACAGGTAGCTTCCACCGTCAGAGGCTCTGACATCATAAATTCGGAGTGTAGCCTTCCCTTCAGTGATGCCATCTCTTAAGATCGAAGTTCTCCCTCGATACTCTGCCATTTGTTTGTTTTCTACCTCCTTCCCATTTGCATACTCATATACTACCTGCCCAAGTCTGGATCTCACCCACATCAGCTCCATGGTCTCCGCGCTCATCTTTGGGGACAGATGACAAGGCAGATCAGCGTCTTCGCCCACCCTGGCCACGATGGGCCCAGAGGGTCCAATCACAGAAAACTGAGCTGGTCAGTAAAAGGAGAAGGTACATCAGAGGGAGTTGAGACCATGAGGGTAAGGGAGTGAGCATCTCAGGCAAGGAGGGTGAGGTATGAAAAACCTAGAGAGGAACATGATACTAACAGAAATACAATTTGTCTTAATGGCATGCACACCTTCATTTTGGGATGGGACTTCCAAGTGTAAGATGTTGTCAGAGGTTCTGAATGGGCACTAATAGATAATTATCTGCTTCAGATGCATAAAAGCAGAATGTTCCCTACCTGAGCAAGGGGAGAGCAGCTGGCCCAAGACGATGCAGACAAGGATGTTGAACAGAGGGAAGTCTAGGGAACTTGCTATTTTCATCTGTGCTGCAGAGAGATGCCAGAAATAGTAAGGCAGAAAGTACGACCAGAAGAAGATGGCAGATTCCACATCGAACTTCCACCTCCCCAGGGCCAACTCAGGTGAAACACACAGTCACTAGCGTGGTGACTCAAGATCCTCTTCTGCCAAAATGTCGGCTTGGAGTCTCTTAACTTTGAGTTGCAACATGTAAATCACCCATTAAAATATGTAACGTTGAATGCACGTCCACGAGGCTCACCTCTTTCAAGTCTTTCTTCTAAATTCAGTTCCTCCGTAGGACATTCTCTGACCACAGGATTACGGCAAATTGCTCCCATCCCCCTGAGCCTATTCTCTTTTCCCCATTGAATTTTCATATCCAAATCATATGTTTACTGTCTGTCTCCACCTGCCAGAACGGAAGCTCCACAAACACGGATATTGGTCTATTTCATTTCCTGAAGTGCAGCAAGCCTGTACAACATAGAAACCTCAGTAAATCTTTTTTGAATGAGTGAATGGATGAAGGTTAACATATTAACCTATCAATAATCATTTGCATTTTAAATTGGTTTAGATGATCAGATTAACTGGTTGCCATAAGACAGGAAGGGAAGTGGAGAGTTGTGAAGACAAGCATCTGCCTAGACATGCTCTTTTAGTCTGACTTAGAGACCAGGGCCCAGGGCCCTGTGTTCCCACTGTGACTAGGCTATATTAGTGTATTTATTCCTATTTTTCAATGAAGTAGTTTCAAGGGGCAAGCATGTCCTGGATGTGCATGTAAGAGTGCTACAACTCAGTGTGCCTCAGTACACTCTTTTCAAAACTGTTCTTTAGGAGAGAAATATCCCTGGGAAGGAAATTATTCATTTCCAGTCTTCCCTTTCCCCAAGTGTTCACCAATGCTCCTTGAAGATGGCCTCTGGGCTCACCAGCAATGGATAAGTTACCTGGTCTTAGTCTTTCCGCTGCTAGAGAAGTGCCTTTTCGAGGCAGAGTTGTAAGACCTGGCACTTGCAAACAGGGGGCAAATATGTCAAGCTAGGAGCACACAGCAGCCCAACAAGCTCATGCTTCTATGAAGTGCTGAGGTTCTCTCAGCTCAGAGGCAGGGCACCTGTACCATCCCACTCCCTGCCCAGTGCTGCCAACTGTATCTTAGCTCAGAAAAGCACCTCCACCATCTTTTAATCATGGTCTGTGTCATCATTGCAAAGCTTTGTGGTAAGGGATGTGTGGGGACCACACCAGCTGGCAAGGCTTCATTCTACCTGGAGTTCTAGCTTGGCTTCCATCCAAACCACTCCAGAGTTGGCTGCATCCCTACATAGTGGAGAGCATGAGAGCAGGCCCAGGTGGATTACTCAGAGACAGGACTGAGAACTCGGGACCTAGCCCCCTCCTTTCCCCCCGGTCCTCTCCCATCATGTATCCTCTCCTTCCTTGAAGAGGTCAGGTGGGATAGGGTCCTGACAAATGCCTTGAGGGTGTGTCCATCTGGAGAGACACACTGTGGACTCCTCTAGGCCACAACCTATAGCCATGACCAAGTTCAAATCATGCCTCCATCAGACTCTGGTTAAGATCCTGGCAGACTCCCTGGTGGAGGCTCTGGAGTTAGTCAGAGGTTGAACCTATCATTTCTTAATCACAAGGCTAGTGAATAGGAGAGCTAGGAATAAGACCAGGTCTCACCCATCTTTTCATTCATTCGTTCAACAAATATTTAGTGAGCACACACTATGTGCCAGGCCCACTAAGTGTCAGATGTAGGAACAAAAAGGGGGTGGAAACTGGGCCGGCTCCGTGGCTTAGCGGTTAAGTGCGCGTGCTCTGATGCTGGCGGCCCGGGTTCGGATCCCGGGCACGCCCCAGGGCACCACTTCTCCGTCCAACCCGAGGCCGAGTCCCACGTACGGCAACTAGAAGGATGTGAACCTATGACATACAACTGTCTACTGGGGCTTTGAGGGGAAAAAAAATGAATAAATAAAATCTTTAAAAAAAAAAAAGGGGGGGTGGAAACTAGGTAATGGCACTACGATTCACAAGCTGTGCGATCTCAGCCATGTGACAAAACCTATCTGAACTCCAGTCACTCATGAAACAATGTGAAATATGAACTTTAGAATGTGCAGAATTAGCCCAGCAATTCCACCTCCAGATATCTGGTCCAGCAAAGCACATTCATTGGTCCAGAGAGAAGCATGTGTGAGGATGACACTGCAGCATTGTTTTTAAAAGTAAAAAAGCAATCAACAACTGAACTGGCCAGTGACACACAGGAGACTGGTTAGCTAAATAATGGCTTGTCCTTATGAAGGAACTCAATGTGGCAGTTAAAATTAATTTATAGTCACTATCCCGGATAATCAAAACATATTAAGTGAAAAAAAGCACATTGCGGAACAATACTAATGATTGAATAATAAACAAAAACAAAGCTATAAGTTTGTAGATACAGGTTTATGTAATTTCCTTTGAAAAGGTCTAAAAGTACACATGCTACACTGAGAACTAGGGATTGAGTGAAAGATACTTTTGTCCTTTGTGCCCTATACTTTGAAAATTATTTGAATGTTTTAATTTGAAAAGTTGTCATGTACAACTTAACAATTAAAAATCATTACACGTAATTTTAGTGACTGCAACATATTAGCTGTTCAGAAAATACCAACTCCTCCTAAACACGCCAGCATGAGACCCACAGTCACAGTACCTGCCAGTCCAGGAACTGCCGGGGACAAGGGAGCAGAAGTCTATGCAGCTGGCTCTCCTTCAGACCCTTGTCTGAAACCTGGACACACCCTCAGACAAAATATTGTCTTTTAGTCCATCCTCCACTCTTCAAACTGTTCTCTATGCTGCTAGAGAGAGGACAGTAGTATTATTATTAAAGCAGGTAATAATTTCTCTGCTCTTCTCAGAGAGGGGAATGTTTTCATTTATTTTTTAGGATATTTATTGTTTTTGTTCCTAATTATAAAGCATTTCAAAATGGAGAAAAATATAAAAGAATAAAATTTAAATAATCTGCAATGGCAATCAGATACTTCACTTCATGGGAATGTAAATATTTCTGGCAGTATTTTGGCCATGTATATGTACCAAATGCCTTAGAAATGTTTCATCCTTTGACCTAAAAATTCCCCTTATAGAAATTACTGTTAAAGACAAAAAATCACGTTAAATCAAAGATTTATGTTTAAGGATGTTCATCATGGTAAAATCTACAGTAGCAAAATGTAGATGAGGGCCGGGCCTGTGGCGTAGCGGTTAAGTGAGCGTGCTCCGCTGCTGGCGGACAGGGTTCAGATCCCGGGCACACACCGAGGCACCACTTGTCAGCCTATGCTGTGGCGGCATCCCACATAAAGTGGAGGAAGATCGGCACAGATGTTAGCCCAGGGCCAGTGTTCCTCAGGAAAAAGAGGAGGATTGGCATGGATGCTAGCTCAGGGCTGATCTTGCTCACACACACAAAAAATGTAGATGCAATTTAAATATCCAAATTGTATCTGATTTGTTATAATTATAAATAAAACTCTTTATTAAAAACATGATTCCGAATGAGTATAAGAGAATCCCTTTATGATTGGATAAACTGTTGTTTATCCATCCTCCAACTGTTTTATATGAATATGTATGTTGCATGTGGAGGTTGGTTCAGATTTTTCTGTTATAAATATTTCTGTAATGAACATCTTTACATACAAATCTTTGTCATATCTCTTTTTAGAATCTCTTAGAATACATTCCTACAGATGACCAGGAGAGATTACAAGAGTCCTTTGTTTCTTTCTGACCACAGGAAGTTCCTAAAGACACGCAGTTGGCAACTTTCTTCAATTAGGTTGTCTCCCTCCCACCAAATTTCCCAATGCAGGCCCTTATCTTTTGCACTGCCTCTCGCCACCCCCCTCCCCTCACCACACACACAGGCACCAAACCCCTTTCTCTGGGTGAGGACTTCCCTGTACACACTCTCAGCTTTTTAGCTGCTCTCCTTCCAGGGCCTGTGGCCCTGGCTTTTACCAATTTCCCCCACTTACCCCTTGGCATTCTCATCTGAAAAGTGCAGCCCACACAATGAAGGTAATCAATAGTTCTCTACTATAGTTAACAGTCTGCTCTGGAAGGAAGAGAAAAGAGAGAATGGCTGATCACTGTGAGAAACAGTAGTAGAGTCTCTCCTTCAAAGAATTAGTTTTATTGATTGGCTCAGAGGAATGTTTCTCATCAGTTGCTGAGTAGACACCGGTGGGGAAGGTAAAATGAAAACTGAAACTGTCCTGGATTGTACAAGTGAAGAAAGCTTCCAGCCCGAATTCCCACACTGTTTGTGTCTCTCTGTTTCTACCTATTTGAATCATTTGTGTATATGTTTATGTTATCAGTATTTCATTATATACACCTGTTTTATGTTTTTTATATCATAAAAGATTTATCTTTATCAGCAGAACTAAGCAGATTACAAGATTTTAAAGTGTGAAGCGAGGAAGACGTGCGTTAATTAATATGTCTCTGTGGCCGTTTGCTGACATCTGTGCGCACGTAGGTGGGCACACGGAGGAGGACATCTTTTACAGCAGAGCCAAATGGAAGTATGAACGGACAGAAAACCAGATCCCCTCCACCTTTTCAGCACCTCTGAACCTCAGGTCTCAGATCCACGACCACATCATATAATGTTCAGGCTCCAGAGGCAGTGCTGCCGGTGACTGGTGGGCACATCTTACGTTTCAGAACATTCTTAATTGGAGTGTTGCTGAGCATCTTCCTTCACCATCTGCATCTTATTTGTGCTACATTTGTGTTTTCGTGTGTATTTGTTTCTACTCTGCCTGTAGGATTCTATTCTCTGAAATTACACTTGGATGGGCTGTGAGGCTGTTTCTGTAAGATGCCTTTGGGACAAAATAGTCCTACAGGTGGCCTAGGGACTCCCAAGACATGTTACTGGCATCGCAAGAAAGTGATTAAATCTCCTAGTGCTTTGATGTGACTTTGGCTGATGGAATTTGAGTACA